ATTGGCTATTTTAAACATACGCTGAAGTATTTTGTACTTTGTAGATTTGTTTCATTGATAATTTTGTGAATTTGCACAGTGTATTGTAGTTAGGCGTGAGTTATGACGTGATTTTTCAATTGCAATTAACCTTTGATCGTTTGGTGAACTTGCTTCTTGGTTCGAATGTTTCTTGGTTGTTCGAGTATGAATTTCATCCAAATATCGCCGTGCATAAAAGAACTTGTGTATAAAAAATGAAAGATTGGTTTTCGTGCTGAATAATTGTTAATAAATAATTTGTAGCAACATAGCTATTTTCGTAAACCATATTATTTTTGCGTAATCATGTAGTAAACACACATATCCATTCATTTACACATAGTTCTATTCCTACTTGCCTATACAGTAAAATTAAATAATTTAATTTACATAAAATTTAAAATATGACTTAAGAAAAAAAATGAAGTTATTAAATGATATCTCTTGTTATAGTGTGCCAATTGTTTACAACCAACTGTCGCCATTGGGTTCTGTTTTATGACACACTTGTCCAGTAAGATACCACGGCTTTCTTCTGTTCTCAGTGTTCTTGTCTTAAATATACAAATAAACATCTCAAGTTGACTTAAATATTTGCTTTGATTTATATCGTATCTGGTATCTGTGGTATCTGGCAGAATGACCAGTGCTGTGGAACATTCTGCTCCTCAGCATAATGCTGAGCCAGGGCCAATTACAAGCACAGCACACACGTATTACACATTTGAAACAAACCGAATGGGAAAAGGGATTTTTTTTATATCTCTCATTATATTTTTTCCTTGATTATTGTTATTTTGTGTGTTTATGTGTGTGTGTTTTGTTAGTAATAAATGTTATGTCTATGTCTATGTCTAAATGTTGTATTAAAAGTTACCTTCTTTTGGTTGCTTTTGGTATATTTCTTTATACTTTATATTATTATGCTTAGCGGCCGTGTTCCCCTACGGTGATCGCCATCCGGCTTGGGGAAGTACATACAGTAAAATTAGCATATTATAATTGTTGACCGGCCTTCTAGGCATCCTAAAAACAATTTTTGTTTCGCCGGAAATTAAACCTCCGTGCCGCATTAGCAATAAATAAATAGTAATGAAAAAAATCATCCATGCCTAAAATATTGGGCAGCCCTAGTTCTGATGGCTTGTCTCACAAGCGATTGTAGATGTAGGAACAAATTGCGTCGCTACAATATTCTATGAAAGATATCGCATCTAACGTCTACGTTTATATAGCTCAATATCGTGGAAGCATATTGATGATTGAGCACAGAGGTTCTTCATTCTAGCACGATTTTAATACAATTTTTATCTTATAAATATTAACTTTAAACAATATAGTAATAATAAAAATAATTAAAAATAAATAAAATGAAAATCAAAACAAATTTAAATAGTTTGGTCCCTGTGGCAGTGTACCTTTAACGCTTTTTTTTGTCTTTTTTTTTAAACAATATTACAAAAAAGACGGTGCAATCCTCTGTCTTGGCCTCAAATATCGGTTTGGTTACCAGCCTTCTGAAGACATAGGCTGGCACGTGAGCCATGGTTTTCTGACCTTCACAATACGAGTTCCGACTTAGGAAAATCCCATTGCACAGGGGTTCGAAACTAAACTAACCAATTATAAATGCCTCAATAATCTTACGTATATTTTCATTAGATCCAATTACATTTTAGTTATCGGACTTGTTGACAAATTTTTTGGAGTCGTAAATAAATGATATCAAATTCAATATAATAATATAATGGTGGACTGATTCATGACTGGGCGGCAGATGAGGATTTTAGTATTTGTATAACTTAATGTATTGGTAATGTGAATGTGCTTACCACAGAGTTTTACGGTTGTCGCGATAATTTGCTAACGATAGATGTTCGATCGATGGTTCCTATATTATGATCACATGAATTAAATTAAAACAATCAATTTTGGCAAAATTAGTTGTACCTACATAATATAAGTGATATGGAATTGCGATCGTTCGGGAATTTTATTTTATAATAGTATCATTCTGTACGATAAGACGCCAATAATGACATATCTAGATAAAAATAACATTGTTAGGTACCTAGTTATGAATGAATTCTTTATTTTATTGTCTCAAATTAATCATCAAAACACTCGTTCGATAAGCATGGTCGAAAAGATCGAATTTAGTACTATTATTTGTGTTGACGTCTTGAATGATTATATAAGTATGTGATTTATTTTTTTATAATCGCTTTACTATACAGAACTCTAGCGGTGCTTTCATATTTATTTATATAGTGTTACGAAAATCTTTAATGGATGTTTTGAGACGTACGTTTTTAATTTGCACTTAATTTCTAATTACATTGTTAACTAATTAATAAAGCATATAATGAGCCGTTTTAAAAATCAGATTCATATTAATGGAGCTTCTTTCGTTCTTTTTTGTATTTTTATTTTATACATGATTTATTTATTATTAACGCTTTATTTAACTGCCATTGCGGCAATGTCATTGCCAGATAAGTCTGTAGCACAGAGCTCTATTAACAAAGGTGTTTCTCTTACTCCTTATCTCCGACATAATCAACATCTTTATCTGCGGAACGAGTTTACAGTAGTGTCATTGTTTAAAGTATCCTTTGTATTTGATTTTTGTTCTTTTTATTTTTAAGAAATTTTAATTTTTCAACACTATCGTATTGGCTTTGTCAGTAAGGGTAGTGTATGTTTTTTATGTAAGAAATAAAAATCTATATACTATATGAATTATAGACATTTTAATAAGTCTTACAAGGTGTGTCATACTTTGTAGTAACATAAAAACACTAGACTCGTGCAGGTTTAAGTTTTTTGTTAACATTTGTGTCATTTATCCATTTAAATGACTTCAAAAATAATAAAATGAGTTATCAATACGACATAATTTTTAGGAAACCATTTTTAGGAAACCTCTTGTGTTCTTTTATACTTTCCCTTGCCTTTATGTTTTTTGATAATAATAAATGAGGAATAGGATGAAATAATACGACTATAATGGTTTACTAGTAGTTTATTTCAAACATAATAGGTAGGTATTCCACGCTTTACATTTGTGCTTTTTACATTATTTTGAAAGATGACGGATACATTTAAAATCCTGTAAGCCTATCTCCGCTACGAATTGTTCAGTCAATTTATAGAGGTAATATAATTTACTTAAATTAAGAACGTGCAATACTTACAGATTAAAACAACCTATCCGAAGAGTTTTTACTGTCTTTGGTAATAGTCTATGCTCAATTACTTATTATCTGTGGTAAAAAAAGGAATAGACTCAACAAACGCCCAATTCATATTTAGAACGAAATACTACTTAAACTTAAGATAACAATTACATATTAAGTTTAGTGTCGATTATGAATTTTAATTTTACACAACATTTAAAAATACAGTAACAATTAAATTCATATAATCTATATCTCTAGTGCTTTATATATTATACGTATGTAGAATATATAACGCACTATGTCAGCTCTGTAACCTTCGACAGCGTTAAAAATTCCGACACTTTTTGCGCGTTTCGATGTAGGTCTCATCACAGCATAAATAATAATCAACGGAAAGAGACAAATGAGTAATAACGTCAATTAAAACAATGTTTTAGTTATAAAGTGAAGAGGTAGGACAGATAAAAAATGAAGAAGTAAATAGACAAATTTATTCAAGGGAAATTTATTTACAATTTTACATTTCTAACTCTTCAGATAGGTATTAGCGTGGGAACAACTACAATACATATAATAAACTTTAAATTCGTTTACATATCTATTTACAATAACTTAAAATACACATATTGCATATATAATACTGTATTTACAAGTGCATTGACATACATATATTAATATAATCTTACTAATTTAAAGGTAGCCGATACGAATCATATTTACAAATTTAAAGGTTGACATTGTATGTACATAGATGGTTGTTGCTGTTAATATAAATGTTGTGTTAAATTATCATTTGAATAAACAAAAATTGTTATTCTGTTGAAATTTGTTTAATAGTTTAAAAATTATGTAATGCCATCTATTATCTATCTATTGTAATAAATATGTTCGATTGATATTGTATTTTTGAACGTATGCAATATGCATGCCTACTTTTAGTTAGTGAGTTTGTTTTTCTTAATGTTGACAGCACAATAAATATGTTTTCTTTGTTTTTTTTATTATGCTAGAATTAACCTTTTTGTTATTCACATATGCTTAAATAAATCAGTTGTCTTTAAAATTTTAATGGTTTTGCCATGGTAAAGATGAATATTATAGATCATAGTTTGCTACATAAAATAAGATTAGTTTTATATTAAATTGGCACCGCAATACTTTTACAATACATCTAAATAAAAGTATTTTAATTTTATAATAAATTACTTACATCACATTCCTAATATTAATTTATTTACAATAATTGCGTTTTAAGTTAATAACTACCAGTAACGAAACAATTTTTTTGGGAACGTGGGGCAAAATGTATACGTAACGTTTACCCTGAATTTGATCAATTATTCAACACAACTGTAATGAAATCACATTCTTCCTTAAAAAATTTGGTGTAAAAGGTTACATTGATTCTAGCAGTCCTTACGGTATGCGTTCAATATTTTGTCAAACTCATATGTACCTATACGTAGAGGAAGCAAATAATAATCAGAAGTAGGTCTAAAATCAAAGTCAAATCTTAACAGAACATACGTGACAAATGTTACTTATTCAACGAAATAAGTTAATTTAAAAGTGATAATACGCAAAATTAATGGGCTCATCTGATTCGTTAACATCACTGTCCACTGTGTCACTTTTTTGCCCCTTTTCATAGCGGCCTCTATCGTAATTAGAAAGATCACAGGGCGCCTCCACTTCTTTGTAATCGTAATTGTAATAGTATTCGTGAACACTTGCACTGTTGTCTCTGTAGTCAGTTTGGTAGGCGCGGGGGGGCAAAGCTTCCGCGCCTTGGGGCGATCACTGCCGGTGGTGGGGCAGATGCATGTGGAGGTCGAGACGCGGTCGTTTGGCGTCGTCTTCGTCACTACAGGCGTCCGCGTCGTGGGATTCTTGCTCGTCACACTCGTCCCCAAGCTCCTCTTGTTTGCGTTTAGCCGTCGCCATTTCCGCCGCGTGCTTTTTCCGCCATTTTGTTCTTCTGTTTTGAAACCACACCTGAAATTAACATACATGTTATTATACGTGATGATATTTCTAATGGAAGTAGTGTTGGCCTAGTGGATTCAGCGTGCGACTGTCATCCCCGAGGTCGTAAGTTCGATTCATATATGAAATAAAAATGATCAAAGAAACGGATGCAATCTGAGGCTGCAATAGGAGAAAGAACCCATTAAGGGTTGTAGTGCAAGTAATTAACTAGCTGCCCCGCGAACTTCGTTGAGTCTTAATATGATTTTTTTAAAAATAAAATAAAAGAAATAAAAAGAGCAATTTTTACTTGTAATGATTTACTAAAAAATTATTAATAAAGTGTGGTAAGGACGAAGACGATTACTTTTATATTTTTTAATTCCATTGTTCTTGGTGTATTTGGAATGCGTTTATTATTAGCAAATTATTAATAAAACAAAGGAAATAACAAACTATTCAGAATTACGACGCAATATTTCGTAAAACTCAAATAGGACTACACTTAAAAGACATTTTACATCTGCAAGCGCTAAGCTATTTGTCTCCTGAAAGCCAAATATAAAGACCGGGTCAACATCCCACCGTGTGGACGGTGGACCTAATCTCCACCACCGACATCATAATGCCTCATTAAACACCTTTAAAGTCGAACCCAGAGGGTCGCTTCATCCCTCTCCTTCCCATTTCTTCTTTATCTACGCGATAAGGACGGAGATAGTAGCACGGTAATTAAGGGTCGTTTTGCAAATTACACGGTACTTAACCAGCCATATAACACTCATTAATCACGAGTCTTCTATCTCGCTCTATCGTTGGGACGGTCTATAGCACTATCTCTGTCTCCCCAGTATTGGACATTAGACAGGGGTTTAATTAGGTCATAAATACATTTTCATGATTAAGGCTCCAGTTTGTCGATCTTGAATATTAGGGCTGATGTCGAAGCTATTATGGGAGACATTTTGTTTGAATTTCTGACCTTTTACAAGTTGTTATTAAATTGGTTCTACGCGAGCGAGTGAGGTATTTCTTTGCAATTATTATTAGATTTTAGCTACAAATCGATAGTAAAATATGGTGGAAAATAAGATAAAACGTGGGGAAAGCAAAGGATATAAGGCAAACAATCTATTAAATTAAATAGGTACCATTTTAAAATATAATTTAAACCTATGGATATATTTTTAAGAACATTTATGAAAATAAAAAATTATTATTGTACACGATATCCGAAATTTAAGACGATAAGGGTCTCATAACAGATGTAGTACGGTGCGAAGGCTGTAGTTTGAGGCGATGCGCAGATGTTTAACAACGCTGGAAATTTCGCTTTATTAATTTTTAAGGACGGTTCAAGTTAGTTGATGTAGCGATATTTTACAAATACGTTTGTTTATCAGGATTTACCTACTTCTTACGCAATTCTCTATGAGATAAAATTCTTTAGGTTTAATTAGTTACTAATATTGCATCTGAGATTGATATATACATTAGTATGATGTTACTGTAAGAATATAAAAGTATAAAAAATTTGGTAGAAACAAACAAACTTAATTGCTATTAAAGATTTGCTGCATCTGGCACTGGACAAGAAACGCTTCCCGACTGACAGCCAACCTCCAGTAATGGAGAGGCAACAAAAGAAGAAGAATAGAGAAAAAAGAAAATTAATAACAATAATTATGGTTATTAAAAATTTAAGTTTCGTCAGTTAATGTGTGCACAAGACTGTATGTTCACTGTAGATACAGATACAATATTACTAAATAATATCTATTTAATAATTTTAGCAATAAGTCGCAAACGATTCGCTTCTTGCCAACACGCAAAATAAGATTACTTGTACGATACTTTGATGGCTCAGCGCTTATTAATTAGCCCTTACCAGGCCTCGTAAATACCTCGGGAGCTGCATTTTATTGCAGGCTTTACAGCCACTTGATATATTTAGGGTTTTGTCAAGATATTCCAGTAATGGCTAATTGGGGATACTTTTATGATCTGTGGAACACGTGTCAATTAATCCGCACATTTTTATTGCTAGCGATTTCTTAACAAACTCTTTTGAGGAACTGTTAAAATTGTGTGGTTTTGTATGTTTATTAACTAATTTTAAATATGATCTGTGTCTAACTTCACGTCACTGTCAACGATACCGTGATACTTCGAATAAAGCGCATGTTATATGCGCACCAAAGTTTCTCCGTTTATCTATGGTTCGACTTCATAGATTTTATTATATTTAAAAAAATACTGAGAGAAAAAATTACCCCTTAATACTGTCAGCGGGCTGTATAATCAAATAGATATTGAAGAATGTAAATTCTATTTTCTTTATTCGGCTAAGTATATTTATTTACAAATAGATCCTTACTTAATACCTAAGTAATAACTCTTTTATTTATTCATAGTAAACAATGAATGTATCACCATAAAATGTAGACAAGAAGCAAAGCACCTAATACGAAAAATATTAAGGCTTCATCGACTTTATAGAGATGAATAAAACGCAAAAATATATACAATACAAAAAAAGTCCGTTAATTATTGGGACCAACAACATGGCTTTATAAATAGAGTAAAACTCGAAGATTGGAAGTACCAAATACCGGTAATGATTGTTCACTTTGATGAGCACAGAATTATCATCTACATGTATAATATATAAAAGATTCTGTTCAAAATGAGAAATGTGGTAGGACTATAGGTAAATTACTCAACGATTATATTTGACATGAAATCCTAAGTACTTGGTTAAAAAAAATCAGTGGCGCTACAACCGCTTTTCTGAATCTGTTTCATGATCATTTTTCAATCTAATAGGCAAGTAGGTGATCAACCTTCAGTGCCTGACACACACCGTCGACATTTTTCCTCACGATGTTTTCTTTCACCGTTCGAGCGAATGTTAAATGCGCACATAGAAAGAACGTCCATTGGTGCACAACCGGGGATCGAACCTACGACCGCAGGGATGAGAGTCGCACGCTGAAGCCACTAGGCCAACACTGCTTGTAGTAGTAGTTGGTTACTTTTACTAATATTAATGCCATAAAATATATATACACAAGAGACACTGTTTTCTTAATACATCTTCAGTAGTATCGAGAAGTTTTTATTACAAGCATATTATTTGATAGCTATACTTGAGTAAAAGATAACCCCAGACTAGGAATCACCAAAACATTCCATATTGTTATATTTTACGAGCAAACTTCAGTGTTGCCCCATTATTATTTATATTATTATTTTCACCGTACAAACTTACCCCTGTCCAATTACTTAAGTGGTACGAACCGCGAGAAATAGCTTCATCTCCCTCTTTATTTCCAAAAATAATGACTCTGTCGCATTTTAATGGTGGCTACAAATGTCTTGATGCTTTCACTTAATAAAGACAGCTTAGTTACCATTAGTTTATCTTAGAAGGAATTAACTTGTGGGAAAGTAGAAAGTTTTAGTATGTTTGTAGTGTTTATATACTGGTAATATAGAGAAATATCCAAAATCGTATTGGATTTAAAAATGGGGGACGAATGTACCCAGACAGATACATAATTTATATATAACTAGCAGACCGGCCAAGCGTTGCTGTGGCTAAGGTTTTTGTTATATTACATAGTAGTAAACTATTCAAGGGAAACGGTAGGAGAACACCAGGGGACCACCATGCTTTTTTGGTGGTTATGCCATTAAATTGTAGCTTATGTGAAACGTTGGTACTTCCAACACAGCGCCATCTGTTAGAAATGTGACTATCAAATAATAAACAAATATTTTGCAAACAAACAAAATATTGCGGGTATAAATTGAGATGTAAGCTATCCTATCTTTAAAGTTAGATCAAACTGCACACGGTGTGCAAATTTGATTGACATCGGTTCGGTAGTTTAGGAGTCCATAGCGGACAAACAACGTGACACGTAATATATATTAAGATTTTAAAACGCTTCAGGCGTTTATTGAAGCAAGAGAAGAGAGAAAATAATTTCTTTCTATCATCTGTATTTTAAACGAGGCAATGTTTTTTTTTTAATAAAGTAAGTACACAGCAAAGTCACTTCTCGTACCTTGAATGTTTCGTTTAAAATTACGGTTTTTGAAGTTATACTTCTTTCGAAAACTCGTGACAGTAAATTTTTACGATGCACGCGTACATCGTCACAAAAAACCGACACCCTGAAGTTAGCTATAGTCAACATTTCAGTTTTTTATACTGTTAGCGTCGTTTTTTCTACAAACGTAGAATACAATTTTTCAAAAGATTTTTATCTTGTTACGCTAAAGAAGTATAACTTCTACCGCGTGTACATAAGTAGGTACACACACGTTTTTTTTGTCTCCTCAAACATAATACCTTAATAGCTAGTGTACAGTCTCTCAATATAACCAACAACGATTTCTATCGCAAGCATAATGTCATTAGGCAAAACACAGATTTAGAAATGCGTTAAAGGGGTGCGATAAGGGCGTGACAAATGACTCGCGCTAATGATCCCCGGATTACGTCATGGAGTTACTCCAGATGCCTGAAGACAGGTAGACCGTTTGGATAGCCTTGAATTTATATATTTACTTATTTTTAATTAGTTTAAATATTGTGCAAAACATTTGGGAAAATATATATTTGAAGTTACAAAATACTATCATACTTAACTATAACATTAATAATAACTAACGAATAACTGTTTTCAATTCGTCTGCATATTGCCAAAAAAATTTTTATTAGTTAGAATTCTGTCATGAAAATGTAGATGTTATCATCTATATCGCTCAATTTTATATAATACTAGCTGACCCGGCAAACGTTGTTTTGCCATATAATTATTATTTCTAGGAAACATTTTTTTAGTTAATAAAAATAACTATCTCCATACTAAAAAATAGGGGTTGATAGTAGAGGGGTGAAAATTTAGGGTTGTATGCATTTTTTTAATGCCACATCATAAAAAAAATTAAAAATAAAAAATTTATCCAAAAAACAAAAAAAAATTGAGGTGGTCACTCCTTATCACTTAGGGGTTTGAAATATAGATTAGAGTAGCCGATTCTGAAATTTACTGAGTTTCATAAATAATTTCATAAGTATCGGTCGAGCCGTTTCGGAGGAGTATGGGGATGAACGTGACACGAGAATTTTATATATATATAGATTTATAGCGTGGTCTTCGTGAGTAGATTAATATCTAGAGTATATATATACGTAATATATTATACATTCTTCAAACCTACCCTCACTTTCTTTGGATGCAACGTCCCGATTCGCCGCCCTCACTACAACGACCGACATGGACTGTGACCATATTGAAAATGGATAGAAGCTTTAAAATAGTTCAATCATACCTAAGTGAAATAACGTTTTAGTGTTGCCAGCATTCACAGTAGTCTAGTATTTGCCGGTTAAGCGTCACAACGTGCCGTCAGGTGAGTGCAGAGCAAAAAGCCATCCATCAAGTTTTTGTGCTGGAAATGAAATGCACTCGCGTACTCCATACTTTTATTTTGCTCCATTAGTGCGCGCCATCGATCAAAAACACAATTCCAATTTACCTATCCACCACAAATTCTTCAAAACGAACGATAAATTTTGCTGTTCGAAAAGTTTATTGTACATTAAAAAAACATGGGCTGCTACTACCCTTGGTTTATATACTATTTATATACCCGATAACAATTATAACTATAGGTACCAATATATGTAGAATCTTTACAGGATTTTTTAACGCATTTTCCTTCAGCCTTTGGGAGAGAAACACACGTTTTGCTAAGTCAAAGCACAGAATGAAAGGCAAAAAATAAGTCACAGTACTTCAATCAAAATATTCTACTATTTCGCTTACATTTGAAAATATCACATAAAATTCTTTTATTTTCTGGTAATAAATTCAAATACGTTGAAAATACCGTCAAGATTATATCACACAAGGTTTACACAAAAATTACGTACAGGCGATTTCTTTCTTATCAGTTATCACGAAACTTAATAGGTTTTCGTGTTAATATACATTAGATAAAAGCTTATATAAATACGTTCGAGTAAATTTCTTTGGACTTCTTAACAAAAAAGGCGTAGCTTATATAGAAATCGTATCCATATTACAAGCATCAATACATTATAGTACAATCCGGCGCTAGTAAGGCCATTACTCAAGGTTTGAACGCGTGATTAACAGAGCTATTCAGCGGATTGGCCTTAATCACTTATCGATTGCCTGAGAACAGATTACACTACAATAAAACATCTATGCCTTCTTGTTTATGCTTTTGTAGGCCACATATTAATAATGGAAATCGTGTTTATACGTTCTAGGTGTCTAAACTTTTGATTAATAAACATATTTAGTTAATTATATCATCATATTACGGGCTTCTTTAACCGTAAAGTTTTTTGATGGCATAATTTTTCTTACTAATCACTTATTAAACATTAATAAAAAGAAAATTAAAACAAATAAAAGGCTTGGTCCCTGTGGCACTGTACCTTTAACACTGGCAGCATTTCCTCGCTGTATTGCGATACTTATTCGTTGAGCGAGGAAAGCACCAGCTCTGGGGTCACCGGTACTATCTACCAGGCGCCAACTTAAATCTTTCAAACTCATAATTATTGTCTGTGCACTTAAACTACTAAAACAAATTAGATATACTGAAAGTGATTATTAAAATGTTTAAATTCCTCTTGCCATTTGTGTCTCACCAGATACAAAAGCATAGTTACATAGTTTTAGCTAAAGTACTCTTCCGTGTTCTTCTATCACTTCGTTATAATGTGTACGCGATAACAAAGACAAGAAAAGAGACGGATTCTTCTAGCTACGATATTCATTATAATTACCTTCAGTGTATTTTAAAAATATGAAATATAAATCTCATTAATTAAAAGTCCCAAAAGTTTTTGTTAATTGATGAAACGCC